GAATCAGTCAAAAAATAGCAATGCTGTTGATCTGGTAATGTCTAACAGAAATATAATAACAATAATAATTAATTTACTTATTTGGTAAACATTTGAACTTGCTTATGCTAATCTATTATATATCTATATCAACAAAATATTATTTTTGGTAATAGGAGTAGATTATTGAATGGATTATTTAATATGGATATTAACAAATAACTTTTAGATCAATTTCATTACTTTTCATTAGTTAGAAGGTAATAATTTCCCAAGGCATTTCTTTATCTACTAATTTAAATTTATAGGTATTTAAGGACAAATAGTAATTAAGTACTTATTTAGGTATAAGAACAAAGTATAATAAAAAGATGAGGTGCTGTAACAAATAATATATTGTAATATAAAATAATGAAACATTTAACAACTAAATAAAATTTAAAAGTCAATAATATTTAATTTATTATTAACTTACGACACTGAGAGGTTGCGAACTTGGTTCAATGATCATTCCAAGCAAAGATCTAGGTGGAGTCATTTCTAAATCCATTTCAATAACAGATTTTATATTTTCGGCTAACTGAAGACAAATCGGCATTGGTTCATTTAATCTCAATACAAATACTGCAGGAAGAGTAATACTATTTTGGACAGTAAATTGTACAAACATTGGTGAACTAAAAAATATTTTAATATGATTAATAAATTTATGAATTATTTAATTAAATAAATATATCAAAATACTTTATTCCAGTTGAACTCCTAGTAGCACTTAGTAATGAAGTAGATTGAACATTAGTTGTGGTAGCTGCTTCAATACATACCGTGGCATAACAGCCAACATCAAGAGTTTCTTTGTCTAAATTCATCATAGCATTATTTTCTACATCCAACAAATCATATGGTGAAACAAAAAAAATTATTTTCATTGGATGTCCTAAAAAAATAAATTATAGTTATTAATTTTAAATTGTAATCAATTTAGTATTTATTATTTTATATAAGTACCTCCTCTTCTAGGTTTAACTACTCCTAAAGGAGTCTTATGCACCATTGATATTAAGTCTTTATGGTAAGTGTAATGAACTTGAGCAAACATTTCTAAATCAGCTTCTAGAGTTTGAAGAGCATTAAAAGCACGACACTTAACCATTTTATCTGCATTCAATTGATAAATAGATGCTAATCCTTCAAGTTGAGTTGTAAAATCAGCAAAGTCACAGTTAGCAAGACTTTTTATCAGATCAGCGCAACTCTATAAAACAAAAATATTAATTAAAATATAAATTTAAAAGAAATATTATTGAATGACAAATGTACAATTATTAAAATTTATCAATATTAAAGGACACTATACAATCTCTTTTATCTTAAATAATTATCATAAATATATTTATTTAAACAATCTAAACATAAAAAAAAAAAAAAACTATTATTTTAAAATATATTGAAAAATTTAAAACAGGTGCATGATGTCATCGATATTTTGATTAGCATTTTTGTGTATTTTTGTGCTGAAAACAATAAAAGAACCAGTTTAAATGTAAGATAAAGTTTTTATTTTTAAAATAATATAAATTATAAGATTTTTGAAAAATTATTTTTAAATTTTTTAAGTATTAAAAAAAAACAAATCTTGAATTGAATTTTTTTTTATTGGACTTTAGGGTTAGGTAGCTTACTAGGGCCATTAGTTGTTGTAAGGGTTATGAACTATGGGTAGGGGTAAAGTTAGTATGGTAAGTTGTTTTTTACAAATTTTATGATTGTTACAGTTGATAACAAACACATGTATGTGTGGCAAGGTTTTTAACTACTAAGAACTCAAGTGGTCACCCATTCGGGAGCTAGTAGCTGTGGCTATTACTTATTCCTAGTCACATTTTGCAACTGGTAGTAGGCAATATGCCATGCCAAGCCATAAATTTAATTTTTAATTTTACTATAAATAATCTTAAGCACAAAAATATACATGAAATTGATAATACAATTTTAGAACAGGTAAAAATTATTGTGTAAAGAGGATGACATTAAAGTATACAAAATAAGCAATTGTATGGTGTCCAGTGTAATGACGTCATAGTTTTTAATAATTCCTATAAATCAATAAATAATAATTAAAAACATAGTTCCAATATTATTCTTATAATTTATGTACTTTCAAGCTCAAATGAATAATGTACTTTAATATTAAAACATATTATCATATAGTAAATTAAAATTAAATATTGATGTAGGCATAGAAATTCATAACTGGTTATGGAAAATAAACTAGTTAAATATATAAAAATATGGTATATTAAGTATGTGATTTGAATATAAAATTTAAGATTACAATTTTATAGAAATTCACTGAGCACTAGTAGTTTAATGATTTTAATTTAAAATTTAAATAATAGTTAATAATTACATTATTAAATGGTACAAGAGTATGCGTTGAATGTTTAATGAGAAAATCAACTGTATCATTATTAAAAATTAATATTTGCAGCAAATATGTGCCAGTTTATTTTTTTTCAAATTCTTTGTTCTCCTTCACATCAAAATGTTAAGAAATCAGAGTTTTATTGTTTGTATCATTACATTTTACTTTAGTTTCTGCTAACTTAATATTGCATTCTACAAGAAACACAAAAACTTTTAATAAATAAATATTTAATAGAATTTGTATACTATTGAAAATGTATTAATATTATCACAAATTGTACTTGTGGTTCTGATTTTCCATCGTGATGAATCTTTACATCTTTTACTCCTCCATTGTCTTCTAAAATAATTTCCAAATAAAACATATCTGAAGAAACAAATATATCTTTACCAGAAGGTCCAACAGTAAACTTTAAACTAAAAAATATACATCAATATATAAAATTAAATTCATAAATTTCTTACGAATATACTAACAATATAATATTATAGCATAAACATGTCAATAATAAACAGTTAACATTACCCTAAATGCCTGCTGACACTGTCTAAACGTTCAATCATTGTCTGCAAAGTAGTCACCTTGATATTTTGTTGTAGTAGATCCAAAGATTTTTGAACGAGGCATTTTTCATTTGGATCTACATTAATACGTTTTTCCTGAATAAAAAAAAAAAAATAATAAATAAATAAATAATATATTTACATTAGTTAGATTTTTAAATTTTTATAAAATGTTTAAAGTATTTAAACTACTTTATTAGAAACATTTAATACAGTTTAATTTTATTTGAAGTATCAATTGAAAAATTAAATTACAAAGTTATTAATCCAAAACGAAGTCATAAAATAGTTAATTACCTATAAGTAACCATCAATAAGGTAATGAGTTATTAATTCTAGTTTAATAATTAGTTTATCAATTAAACTCATTAATCATTTAAGATTCCAAAAATTATTTATTTATTTTTAAAACAAGCACCTATATACATAATTTATATGGTTAAAATAAAATATTATATCATATAAATATTTCTACAATATATAAATATCTCACTACAAATTGCTACTGGGAAATTATATTATACTATCAATTTCTTATTTTTATTTAAATTTGTAACATATTGCTTAACATGTTGACTGTCGGAGGTCATATTAATTAATTACCTATACGCCGTATGACCACAAACTACCAAAATAACACATATTTTCTTATACAAATTGTAAATTTGGAACTTGATTTATTATATAAGCATTACATAGAGGAAAAAATATGTTTTGAATAGTCTATTTACTACTTTTGTACGACACCTTCCTAAGTATAGTTACACAAAAAATATCACTGATAACATTTTTGGATTAGTAATAATATCACAGGTTGCTAGGTCATACTAGCGTATATTATAATATTATTCTATTACCTACAACTACAACTACAATAAACTTGCAGGTTGTTGATAAAATAATACCAGCTAATATAATCTATGTAAATAATCATCATTAATAAATACTAAATATATATAGAATTAAATGTATGAACTGTATGAACCATAACATTTTTTTCATACAATATTATAATATAGCCAATATAGCATAATAAGAATTATATTATACATATTGTAAGTATGATATACTTAAAAACATACCATTTATTTGAAATTTTTTAAGCTAGTTTAAATTTACCTTAATATAAATGTACACAACTAATAGGTCCTCAAATAAGATATGCCCTAGACTCTCATTCTATAAACAGATTCTGATTCTAACACAAAAAGCATTGTAGTTGGATAAATGATCATAGACACAAAAACATTCAGTGATCCATACTGATGTAAAATTCAAAAAAACATAAAGACTTAGTAACTATTAGTCAACTCACCAGTAAAGCCAGTTTGATGTTTTTAATAGAATCCGTTAATGGTTTGTACTGTGACTGGAGAGCTTTGCTCCGCAACTTTTCCATCATCAACTGCATTTGTAGTTTTCTCGATTTATCCTCCGATATCCCATTGTGCAATAGGACTGTGGCCGACATGAATAGCAAATGATATGTTATTTAATATCTCAACATTTCCATACGTTCGTTATCGTAGACTCACGTCAAAAATATATTAGCTAGAAATCTAAAACACGGTCTTACCTGCTGACTGTGTGGCGGCGTTCATGATCGTCAAAACTAGTTTCGAAGAGAAAGGGAATAATCGGTAAAATACTTCGACAGTGCGAAACTGGGACACGATTTTTAGCAGCTGATAGCTGTACAATAATAATAATAACGTTATTCGTAGAAAGTAATAAAATTGTAAATGATTAATGAGCGTGAAACACTTGTACAAATTATTCTTGTATTCTGTATACCTCTTATATTACTTATAAACAAGTATAGATATTAAGATATACTATGGATTTTTTATATTACTTTACGATTACGATAATAAAATCTTTTTCATAACCTCAAACTTAGTGTTTCTTTCGGACGTAATTCTTTGATACACCAAGCCGAGCGCCCTCGTACGTAAACATTATTATCGCGTATAGGTTTATCAATTTTCGTTATCAATAATAACAATAACGAATAAAACTATAAGGATGTAGGGGTCAAAGTCGGGCTAGTAGAAGTGTTAAGGAATTGAGAGTTCAAACACCTTTAGCCACTTCAATTATAGCTAACTTCTAGTTGCTTATCCAAATTCCAAATAATCCAAACCGAAAACTGTCCTCGATAATTTCAAGTGACGCCATTATTTAATTTAACGATATCATATCATATTGACATTCGCGTTTTTTTTTTCGAAAAACAAATCATTACCATCTACCGTGAATTGACATTATATAGTGTTATTATTATAACATTTGTTTACTAATATTAGACAGGTTACCATGGCGACCCATAATTATATGAACAACGATGATCTTCAAAGTCTATTAGGTAAAGTAATATTACATTTTTTTGTATGACTTAGTTTACGTACGAAACTATAATTAATAGTGTTAAACAAAACAGAAGTTTTTCATGAATAGTTAATATATTTAAATCTTTTATACTGCCTTCCTATATGTTTATATTGTGACAAAATTAAAACTGAAACTTATTGTTTTATCTATACTTTAATGTGTTTTTCGAGTAAGTAATTTGTTTTACTGTGTTTATTAGTTAATTATATATTATTTTATTTTTTACGAATATTTATAACTGCGGTGGAGTTGATAAATTGCCATGCATTTACCATAATAGACTTATTGTATGGTATGCTGTATCATAATTCAGAACTTCAGTTGCTTTTTTTTAGGCTAAATTATATTTATGTTAACTTTTAATTCTCAGTATTGATGTTTAAAAAACTTTAACATTTTAAAAATATCTTTCCTTTTTATAACTAATTTATAATAATTTGTAATATAAGCACAAAAATTCATTCAATTCTTAAAAAATCTTTAATGATTTTTAATTATCACGAGATAAGCCAATGATATCAAGGCTACTGATCTCGCAATTTTTTTTTTTTTTTAGTTTCAACGACACACATTTACGCTTTCGGCGTCCACTAGTAACTACCTTCTTTTTACTACAATCTTAACATGTTTTAGAGATATTAATATTTTAATATTTCTTACCGTTTAAAGAAATTAAATAGGATTGTATTTAGGTGTAATTTGGGTGCTGAGTGTGGGGATTTATGTATAGATTGTAGCAACAGTTTTGAAAGTATTTTCATAATATTTATTTCAGTTGTTCATTATTATTATTATAAAATATTTTTAAATTAATATGTTTCAATCAAATGCTTATGAACTCAATTGCTTACAATAATTACTTTAATAATTTACAATTATCTATAACTTGTTTATTTTGTACATATTTTTGATTTAAGTACATAATGGATTTACATCGGATTTTAAGCATTTGTTGAAACTATATTCAGTTTTATCATTTTTTTTTTTTTTTTTTTTTGATATATATATATATCAAAAATATATCCAGATTTAAAAATTAGAAAATCATAATTATTCATTGTAATTATAGTGTTTATATATTATATAATATTTCAACTGAAATAAAACGGAAAACTATAGAGAGTTATCAGATAGATTAATTTTAACTCAGTTATATATTATTATTTTATATTACCTAATATATTTTCGTAATAATAACTATAAAACATTACTAAACATTTCAATCCAAATTTCGTCAAATAATTAAAGTCTCATACTATGTGTTTCAACTGATACTCTCCATAAAGATTTCTTTATCCCAACAGTACAAAATATTCTACAAACGCCTTCACTGCAATCTCCACAGCCATCACTTCCACTTAATCTCAAAACTATCTATCCCCACTATGCCTGATGATACCAGAAGGCGCCTAAAACAAACTTGAGTGTCGTGACCTATTAATTTATTAACCCTCCTCATTGCATGTAAATACCATAACTATATTACTCCTTCACTTAAGATCCCGGTCTTTTTAAAGTGTGGCTAATTTATTTTATACTAACCTTTTAAACATAATTTATTTTTATTGTAAAAGTAGATTTACCTACAAATTGCACAAATCATATTATGTATATGAAAAAAAATTAAGAATAGCAAATCGTTTTATTCGTACTATTGAATTCTCTATTTTCGAAATTAATTTTATTTACATATTATTAATTTGTAATACTTATATACATTTTCAAAAATTTGTCAAAACGCATAGTATATTGTCACATAAAAACTGTACCTATTCGTAAAATAGGTATTAATTGCAGTGCTTCGTAACTACGTATTTATGAGATTATGATACTTAGGTACACAGATATTTTTATAAATTATAATATACATATGTATATTGTTTATTAAGAGTATACTTTACTTATATGTATTTTCTATGTCTTATAAACATTCAACACAGCAAATTTGCATTCAATAAAACCATCTGTGTATTGTTAGTTTTAATATTTGAGTGAATTTATCTATTATCAAAGTTAAAGTAAGAGCATTATTTGTGCTCAGACGTTGGTTTTTTTTCGATATTTTAATTTTTAAGTTATAGATATTTGCACTTTTAACTCGAAATATTCACAATACTTCTCATTCTTGCTTGATTTTAAAATATTAAAAAAAAAATAAATTAAAACTTAAGCACAAATACCTCTACCTATAAATTTGATAACAAGACAATTCGCTCTTATATTAAAGGTAACAAACATACGATTTGTTTTACCTACTATAAACGAAAATTCACTATGTTGTACGTTAGTTTGATGAAATAAACACATATAGATGTATTTTAGTGTCTTATTTACATTGATTTAATATTCTAAAATCAACGCTGTTATGCGCAGTATTATATTTTATTAGTATTATATTATATTTTAATATTTCATATAAACACGTATTTTAGGCCTTAAAAATTGTTTGTATATAACTCATAATACAAACATAGAACACATGTTTATAATATTGACTATATAATTCTTTAAATAACCACTTCATGTCACAATATCGTGGCATTATGGTTTTTGTCATTTTATTTATCATTGGTTCTGAAATGATAAAAATTAAAAATATAGCAACATTGAAAACACGTTTTTTACGTTGCTATATAACTTAACCTAACCATTTATTTTAAATATTATTTTTATTTTTTATATATATATTTTTTTTAGAAGAATGGTATTCCAAATGGAAAATTAAAATAAATAATAATAAATCTTCTCATATAACCTTTTTTATTAGACAAGGCATTCCCCCTTCTCTTTTTCTATCCAATAAAATGATTCCAGTGGTTTCAGTAAGTACTTAAGCTTGATCCTCGATAAGTGGTTATCTTAGGCAAAGCACATAAAACAAAAACGTCTCCTATTAAACTTGAGACGAAAGTTCTTATATTCTTTACTAGGCAAACATTCTAAACTCAACTTAAAAACAAATTATCACTCTACAAAATCTTTTTGACGTTCATTTGGATCTACGGTGTCCAATTATGGGGAGCCGCAAAAAAATTCAACATTTATAAAATACAAACGTTTTAATCTATAACTACATATAATTACTAATGCGCCCTGTTATGTAACAAATCGTACACTGTACTCAGATCTTGATGTACCGACCGTCATCGAAGTGGCCTCATACTACTATAAGCGCTTCTGCTGCCATCTAGCAAACCATCCTAATCCACTGATTTCTGCAGTTAACTCAGCTAACATCCCTGAAAATCCACCAAGAAGGCTCAAAAGGCACTGTTGTCGCGACTTGGCTCTTTAAATTCAAGCAGTAAAATATATATAACTAGGTATTATATATATATATACGTATAATTTAAGAATATATAATATAGCCTAATCAAAATTTATTATAAACAAAATAATTTACGTATAACTAGATTTAATTATCTATGCAAATTGTTGGATTATCAATGGAAAAAATCCTTAAAATATGTATAGATTAATTATTAAAAATCTAATACCTTAAAACACATACGTGAATTTTTCCATTATTTAAAAAAATGTCTTACCGCTAACTTATAAGCTCCTCAAAAATTTGGGCAGATGATTTTTAAGCTTATAAAATTTTTAATTAATTTTAGTAAGACTTAAAATACATTTTAAATAAAATTTTGGATAAAACCTTTACATGAACTTAACCGTGAATTAAAACAGGTTTTCAAAATCGTTATCACAGCATTGGATTAATCTATCACAGAAACCAATAGGTATACTTTGAAATTATGATTTAAATAATAACTTTATATTGGTTAATCCCGCATATAATACTTATAAAATATTATTCATATGATAATAACAGAAAAATGTTGACCAAAATTTTAATAAACATTGTTAAACATTTTTATAAAATACATAAATTATTTTAAATTAAATAATTTACCTTTCATGGTATAGAATGTTAATAATCAATTTTTGAGGTTTTTTTAATAGCTAGATTAGTAATAATTTAATATGGTCAACCTTGTGTTCAATTTTCCGGCCTTATATTATGTACTCTTGTAGTATAATAATTAATAAGTAATAACAGTTTTGTAAAAATAAATTCATTCGTCGTTTTTTTTTTGCTGCTATAAGTATATCTATTACAGATTCATACGTACATGTAAAAAATAAATTTGCTAGTATATATTATTTTCATTTCATCATTGTTTTAAATTATATTTCTTAGTATATTTTTTTAAATATTGTTATTTAATTTTACAACACCGGCTTAAACTTGTAATTATTATTCCAAAATTAAAATATTTTTAAAAAAACTTTGTATTATTTTCTCTAGATTCTCTAATAAACCTTTGTAATTTACCGAGATAAGATTCAAAATTGTGCAAGTAAAAAAACAAATTCCTTTGCTCTATTATATTCGTATAACATATACATTTTCGTGTCTTGATATGGTAAATTACTGTTAATAATACATGATAAATATATTACGTATTATTATTAAAACAAAAATTTTAAATTTTGTATTTGCTCTATTTCAAAGCATTACTATCAAGTGACTAGATTACAAAGTTTTACATTTAATTAAGCTACTATTTAATGAGATTTAACCCAAAAATATTTATATCGAAGTTTATAAGATACTTTCTAAAATTAATTACGCGATCAACATTTTACTTAGAAATTAATATATTATATATACTTTGTAGGTGATTACGTTATTAAAGAAATAAATAATTAAACTTGCAAATGTGTTAAGCAAGTTATGTGTGTCTTCTGTCTGTATATTGTAGTCCATTGCATTACTATATTTATAAATTTAATATTTTCACGATATAATTATAAAGAAATATTCAAAAATAATCTAAGTTATTGATAAATGTATTTGTTTTATATATATTATAGGTACTACCTACTTTAAAATTAGTTTTACCTAATAACATGTAAAAAATATGCAGTATTAAATTATTCTTTATTTGGTTTTTTTTTTTTTTATATTTCAATATATTATCAATTTAATTTTTTTGACACGATCACGATATCAGTTGTTCTTTAAAATTGATAGTTCCCAACTACCAACTTCAAAACTTCACCAAATAATATTAGCCTAGAGATTATTAGCGATTATTTATATTTACATTTTTATTAAAATAAAAAAAAATATATAATCAAATATTAAAGATTGTTAAAATCGTGGCTATCAATTAAAAATGGTTGGGAACCACTATTCTAAGAACTTATTTGAGAGTATGTATATCGACTATATCGTGCTCAATAATTATAATAATAATTAAATATATAGGGATTTTAGGTGTGCAATATTTATTTAACTTCCGTAACTATATATTTCGTACGTGAAAAAAAATGAACTCATACATCTATGATAAACATTAAACATGAATACATGATGAATACGCATAGGTACAAATACAAAATATAAATCTATATAAAATGTATATATTTGTCATGCATTTATAACCTATTAAAGTCTTTGAAACGATTTCTGAATTGTATTGAATAATATTTGAAAAATACGAGTAATTTGGCTTTTAGTGCTATTTTCAGAAATATGAAATTTTAGCGTTTTTGAATTTTTTTTTTTTTTTGATTTAAACATGATACGTGATAACATTTTGATTTGCAAATAATAAACATTGATCGCTGAAGTGCCGTCACTGGATGGTCCCTTCACTCATGTACTCATGTCAATATAGCTTTTTTTTTTTTTTACATCTCTCCATCTTTTCAGTTTATTGTACTAATTAAATGTACAGATCGTTGAAATTTCAAATAAAAATTAAAAAATTAAAATATTGATTATTTAATGATTTCAATGTAAGGTCCTTCACTCTTTCATATGTTATAGTTAAAGCAATTTAAAATATCGAAAATACTTGTGCCTATTTTTTTAGATATTTAAAGGTATAGTTTAAACAAAATTTAATATTTCAACTATACCATTTATCTATAACTGTTATTATGTTGGAAATCAAAAATTATTAATCGTAAGTAATTTAAAGTTTTCGTCATTTGTTATCTTTAATTCCAAGTTAGGTAATGAAATTTTTAAATATTTACTTATTTTCATATTATACTACGAGCCTTATCATCTTATTAAACAATACGTGGTACTGACTAGTTTATAGGAGTAAATAACTTTTAATTAGTAAAGAACAAATAGTAATATCTTATGAAATTATATCATGATATTACATTCTTATGAATTGTTTTTGGCTAAAAATTAATTTAACATTCAATACTGCTATAATTTGCAATCCGCAGTACTAAACATACTGATAAAATATGCAATATCTTATAAACAATATTTTACAACCTTATAACTTAGTTTTGTGTAAATTAGTGAAGGATTTAAAGGGAGAATGGTAACCTTCTTGGTAGTTATATTATATTTAGAAGACCAAACATCAAATCCTAAATTATATTTACAAAATTAATATAACATTTTTGCCCCTTAACAAAAAAAAAAAAAATCCTAAATCCGCCACTGATGTAAATGTATTGATCAAATCTTTTAAGAGATAAAAGATAGTTATATTTGTTATAGTTGTTACCTTTAGATTGTACTATGGATAAAATTGGTTAATTAACTCCAATATTTAAACTAAGGAAACTAAATATAAACTGCTGATCGTTAATTTTCTATGTAACATCTATATAATGGTTCAGCAAATGCCATTGTTACATTCTCTAACGATAAAATAAAATATTAAAAATTAAGATACAATATTATATATACATTTTTTTTAGTTAGCTTTTATTAATAAATATGGCTCAATGGTAACAATACATTAAAATATTAACAAACCAATATAAAAACAAACATAATAATAAAGTAATATTAAATTAAATTAAATTAAAAATAAAAATAAGTTACAACATAGGTAATTATGTAAAATATAATTTATAATGTCAAAAATATTTTGATTTCAGACCGTAATTAAAAAATAATTTCTGGGGAGGAGAGAATATATGATCCATAACATCCTCCCTAGGTTCAGCCTTATTCTGATGGCATATATTGTTCTTGTATATTTTAAAATTATCACCAAGGAACGGTATATTTTTTTCCTATAAATATAGTTTATATATAATATATAACCTCCTCCTAAAATAATTTTTAGTGGCGCCGCTGTATATTACAAGTTACAAGTATATAAATATAAATATAGATATATTTGTATTTTATAAGTAGCTGACAATTATGCACAATCTTCCTGTGTGGCGAGTACGCCATTATGTTTAGTCTTATACATATCATATAAAAAATCATAAATTCATACGTTTACGTAGTACCTACTTATGAATTCCCAGGAAATATACAAGATGAATACCTAATTATTTACCATTTGCATATAATTTCCTTTATATTCCCTATTATATTGGTTTTCGTGTTAACTATTCTTTAGGTATTAAATATATTTGTAATAGATGTACAAATGTCTTAGCGTTGGTTTTAAATATAAAGGTAGCTAAGTAACGTTATAGATATTGTTAATTGATGTATTGAAAATTCAATTTTTGATCTTCAGGGAAGTATATTGGATAAGCAACGGTATATAAAAAAATATTATTAAGCCACAATGTCAACGTTTTGTGCTGATGGTCTTATTCCTGCAAGATTTTTATGCCTCGTTGCTCATTTTATAATACTTATCATGGCTTTAAACCATAGGGTAAGACATATAAAAAAAATACTTATTATATTAGGTGTTTATATAATTTGTGACTATAGCGTTGACTTTACATTTTGATACTAAAATCATTCAATAACTATGCATAAACACACAATTAATATTTCTACAAACATTAAGTTTAAATTACTTACCCGTTCTCTTATTAAATTTTTATTCTCACATTGAATTATGATCGATCTAAGGTGTAAACTACTGTTTATTATATTTATTATTGTTATACGTAAATACTGAAACCTACCGCGTTGTGCTCAACCACTGACGTGTAGTACACCTACGTGTATAACTGTTAAAGATTTATGTATAATCAGATAAACTCAATTCGCACAACTATTGACGTATATAAACAATTAAGCTTTTTGTTCAAGGTCTACAAAACAGAAAAACATGAACATGATATTATCATAGATCATATACAATTTTTTTTTTTGGAAATCATAATTATATTACTTTTGAAATTTTACATTAATCTGACTGTTTTGTAGTTTAAAATATAATAATATGTATTGATATGTAATAATACTAATAATAGTGTAGTGTTTCGAAGTTATAACGACACACATGCTAGAGCCTATAGCTATTACTATCAAGCCAGTAATTAAATTATGTACGCAACATTTTTTTTGATAATACACTTGTATTATATTATACAGATTACAGATACTTGTTTGCATGTGTATGTTTCTGGTGACAATGCTTCATTTTTAATTTAACACCGAAATATATTTAATAATCTCCAACCTATTCTCTTTTCCGATATTACGTGGAACTACTGGTTATTGTTTAGGTAATAATTTTGTCAACGCTATATTACTTGATTACATTTTAGCATCATATGTAATATATTACAGTAACTATTCAATCTTATTAAAAATGGTTACAATTACTTAGGAACGAAACGTAAAAGCCTGTCTACCATATGATTATGACAACGACCTATATATGGAACAAGACAAAAGGTAAATTCAAAAAACTGCTTTTACTTACCAAAAATAAAATATTTGTAGACAATATAGTTTGTTGAATTTTGTACCCATTTTGTTAATTGTTGCACTTTTTTCACTACAAACATTAAAATGTTTAATATAATGTATTTATCTCAGCATTAGATCACGCTTTATCATTATAATGTGATAGTTTTGTAAAATATTAAACACATTTTTATTATACATCAGCTAAAGAAATTATATATTATTATATTGACGCACCAATAACAGGGTTCTACTAAAAAAAGTAACATGCGTATGTATTTCAGTTATGTTTTGCACATAAAATGACCTTTCATTATAAACATCTTTTAAAATGTTTGAAATAAAATCAATATATTCATTTAATATTTTTAGTTGTAAAAAATGTTTAATCTATAAAAATTATCTGTAATTATCGATAATCTATCGTTTTATGATACATTTTAAATAAACAGTATAGAGTTATAATTATCTAAAGAGATTAAATAATTTCGATTATAGTACATCACACATATATATCATTTAGATAAATTATGATTGCATTTGTTAATTACGTTTGTCAGTTGTATGTTATACTACATAATATTACTTAATATACATAAAAAATTTAAACATTTTTTTTTAAAGTTTAAATTTCAATTAAAGTGGTTATAAATGTTGTAATATTCGTATAGTAATAAATAATTCTTACTAATTGTTTATTGAATGAGAAATTGTTATTTGCGCCAAAATAAAGGTATAAATTTGCACTACCGTATAGAATCTATACTATAGATAGTCAAAATTAGTGTTGGTAATTTAACCGAAATTAGTGTTCATGTATTCGGTTATTTCTTCGATACCCTCGTTAATTATGGTAAACAAGACTCAATAACTCAAATGACATGAATAATTTTTCGGGATTTCTAACTATTCACTGCTTTATCTAGTAATAATTATTTACATATTTTGATGTCCTATCTGTCTTTATTACGTTATTATACAGGTTATAAGTAAATACACTACTATAATATACTATACCTAGTAGTTTATTTTTTATTAGTGTCATGATATATTTGTAGCTAAAAATAATACATTTATAATATAATTAATATTATATAATGGGCATTTGTATATTCTATCGATTTATAGGTAGTCGTTTTTTGGATTAAATTTAAAACATGTAAATTCCACCAGTGCGTATTTTTAACCTGAAAACATATTAACTCCACCGATGGTAAAATAAGAAACTACTAACTATAGTGATTATTATTAATTATTATATATATATTTTTTAAATTTATTTAAAAAATGATATATAGTAACTAAATTTTAAATATATTACCTTTGTATAAATAAGAAATCTGTACATAAATGATGTACCTATTATCTATTGTAACTTATTATTATTGCTTACTATTGTTTTATTGTTATTGCGTATTGAATAATTTTATATCATATCTATACTGTAATACTAATTAATTTATCACAAATGTAAAAGGGTAAATCCCGAATATCTAAATAAAAATAAAAATGTACTGGTGGAATTAACATTTTTTTCAGGTAAAAAAAGCAAACCGGTGGAATTTACATGCATCCTATATAATATAATGATATGTCAATACAATATATTTGGTTTTTTAATGGTTAGATATTTATATTTTCATATCATATTATATTTGTTTAATTTATTATTATTAATAGGTAGTTGTCAATCAATACTAATGACGTACCTACCGTTGTAAATATCAATAATGAACGGTGTAAATAAGTTAGTGAAATAAACGCTCAGAATCTAAAATGGAATATTCTATGTTATAAACTTTTTACATATCTTAATACTTAATACTTTGTTAAGACATATTATTAAAATAAAAATCGGCCTTAATTTTGGTGCAAATTACAAATGCATTTCAAATTACTTGAGGTCAATTTTGGTGTAAATTGATTATAGCCATCCGAACGACCTTTTTCCCCAATCCCGTTCGGATTAACGAGATCCTGCTATAAGTACTTAAATAACTTATAAGTAACGTACTATTCGTATATTATATGCTTTTAAATGTAATAATCGCATTATGTTTTATATGAATTTAAAAATATTATGATGCATACCACGTTACTATGTTTGTTTTTATTTCTGATTGCGTATCATTTTATTTTATTTTTTTCACTTGAAGAAACTAATAAAATATTATTACATCATTAAGTGTGCACTTGTTTTTTTTCTTAGTAAATTTTACTAACTTTACATAAAACACATTAAATTTAATACAATAATTATAAAATAAAATGATTTATTTGTAATATTATAAATATAGGTAATTGATTCTTTACATCCATAGGTTGATGATTGGTTATACACTTTCAATTGGTTTCATTGGTATCGAAATGTTTGGATTTATGAGTGGTATAACAATGTTTTCTCCAACAAACGGTTTTATTTGTATCCTTTTCTTTATATTTTATGTATATTTTTAAATTAATTATACTTGAAAAATTTAGTTTTTTTCTTAACTTATCTGACCACAGCTATGATTTGTCATGGTGTGGCTACCATGATGATGTTTTATTTCCTCCAAGACTTGTGGAGTTGTGAAATGTTTTGGTCTGTATTTTTTTTATGCAGCATATTTCCGTGTTTGATCGAACTAATTATGATAAGCTATTCTTTTATAATGAAAAAATGACGAAATATTTATGAAAATTATATTTAAGTTATCAATATACATATATCTAATAAGTAAACTTTAATATAAAACGTTTTAATTATAGTATGACTTATTTTAAATTACTATTACTATAGAAATTATAGATATTTCATTAATAATATATTTATGTAACATGTAATTGTATCTTTATTATTTTATTATTTTTGTATAATATTAATTATTTAATAAAATATGATGAAAAATCATAGTCAAAACCAAAAAAAAATGTTATTTTATATTAGGTACGAATAAATTACTTGTGGATTTATTTAAAAATTTAAAAATAAATTATGAATTATTTTAATTCAAAATAATATAATGAATGTTATTATTATAATATTCATTATTTAATTGATAGATATAATAAGGCATGGACGGACAAGTGATTTATTAAATTGCGCACAGTGTTTGTACTTGGTAATCAAACAATTTTAAAATAATCCAAAGAGTATTTCACATATTAAAATTATAATTTTGTTTATTATACGCAATTCTTTGTAGGCAAAATGGTTGTTTTATTATTAAAAAAATAATAAAATATTTTTGAAATTATAATTTAATTTCCGTTATAATAATTAAGTAGATAATATGTCCGTTAAAATCAATAAAAATTATACTATTTTGCATAATATTTATAGGTTAGTTAATAAATAAATAAATTGTGGTATGAAATATATTAATTATGGATTGGTACTATGAGGCCATGGTCAAGAAATAAAACGTTATACTAAATAATTTATTAATTAAATCATTATTTTTATCATTATTTATATATCCACTTCAATTGACGTTTTAAACAATATGCATTAATCATTTCACGAGGACAGAAGTGCCAAATATGTTGTCTTCTATCTATTTTGAACTGAATATATTTTTCTAATTGTTGACAGCCATTTTTTACCAAAATTTTTCTTTAATACCAAATTACTAGTTTATCTGATCGTTGAACACACACTATTCTATTAACTTCAAATCATACGTAAGTGCGAATTCTATAGTAAATAAATTATAGTTTGATTTTTATCAAAGGCTTAAATAAATATAATTAAATAAATTATTCATTTTCAACAGCATACATTTTAATAATTATTGTATTATATTTTTTTTATAGCTTTGTTATAAACAATAATTACATAATATATAATATATAAACATTCTATTGTTGTACCTACATGCCATTCCTAACTTAATAGGTAAGTATTTATAATACAAATTATGTTCTAAAATTATTGTTTTAATGTTTATAAATATATATATGAGTACAAAGGTTAAAACTAATATCTATTAAAGTTTAAAAAAGTGGCTTTTGTTGTTTTCTTATTATAGGCTAGATAATGTTTGAATCCTTCCAAAACAAATGTATATTAGTATATTTGTTTATACATTGCGTTTAAAGATAATCTCTATTAACTTGCTTATAACTTATACCTTAACGAATATGCACCAGTGAAGTATATTGAAAGCGTTTTCGTAATATCTTTACTTGTAAGATACGTTATCTATTTCTCAATAATATATATTTTCAGTCCTCTTTTTATATCTTAGTTTAAGTATTTGATATATTTTCTTAAATAATTTATTAAACTTTAGAAGGACATAAGATATTATATAAGTAGTTTTTAATATAAATTGTATTATGAAAATACAGTTTATAATTTAATTTTTTAATTGGTCAACTTTTTAATTATTACTTATAACATAAAATATAAATGATCAATAATATGATGTACCTACCTATTATGTTCATGAAAGTTTATTTTTCATTATGATTTTTAGCTTATTCATATAAGTCATAACTTATTAGACAAAATTTTAAATCTATTTTTCACGTAAAAAAGTGGGTTTTTGGCCTATATTGTTTATTAATTGTAGTTTCAAAATTTCTCTGCTGTCCATTATTTTATATTTTACACTTCTATAGGTTTCACTGACCTAAATTACTAAAATAAGATACTTTCGTGATATAATTACATTAATTGGTACAATATAATAATTAGTGAGTAGTGATTCTTGTATAATAGGTAATCTTCGGGAAATTTAAATACGAATATATCACATTTTAAACATGTTTTGACGATTGGTACTATATCATGAATTTTAACGATTGTATGTATATATGTATATGTATATATATATATATATACATTTTTATGTTTTTATTATTTATTTTTTACTGGTTATCATAATTGAATAATTTGTTAATTTTTTTCAAATATTTTACAACTGTTTATTTTGTCTTAAGGCTTACTATCTATGTATTAAATATTAATATGTATTTTTACCTATGAAATTTACTATTAGTGTCTATAAAAGTAAATACTTGCTGTTTTATTTTTTCTTCGTTGTATACTCGAATATATTTTAATAATATGTTCTTAAAGTTTTTTTCTATAAAGGTATATTAGGTTTTGTATTTATAATAGTTATAATTAGATACTACTATACGAATTATATGTTCAATTTGACATCCAATGAAGTATTTGATAATTTTGAAAAAATTTACAAATATTCATAAGTTTCATTTTTTCTTGACGGTTATTACTTAAATGTTTGATAATTATTAAAAAAATAAATAAATATTGTAATGAGTAAATATGCTATGCTAATCGATAGAATTTTTACTAAGAATTTGAATATTACCTGTATTAATATTTATACTATAATGTTAATTTGCTCTACTAACTAATAGGATGAAAATATACAGCGTTAACCATAGAGTTATGTCTTAAACTAACCTAACGCTTGACTGCTTGAGTAACAAATGTAATCTTACAACCCAATGACACACAGACGGGTTACCAAATATTGCGATTTCAGCATGTGTTCTCGAGAAAGTGGAATAAATTACTGATATTACGTGGAAGTTTGTGTAAATTATAATAATTAATTAACGTTAACTATAAAAATTATTTAATGATTTATTTATTTAATTTTAATTATATAAAAAATGTCAGCCATTTATACTTATGTTATACTTTTTAATATATTTGGTAAAAATCTATACTTAGGTACTTAGGATACTGATTATTGCCAGCTAGCAAAAACTAGTCATCTATAACTGTTTAGAATCTTGATAGATACTCAATATTTCATAAAAATTAATTTTAAATGTTTGAAATAAATTTCGTGTGAATATTTGTTGAATACAGAGAGAATTTTTTTTTAAAATATACAAAAGAGAGTGATGGAGTAGGTGGATATTTTTATTAGCATATTTTTTGAGTATACATATTGTACTCTCGAAATTTCTGTGTATTTCACTGCAACAATTCAATCAGTTTAATTTTTGTAATAAATATTCATAAAAAAATTAATTTAAATATTACAGCTATATACTATTTGTACTTATTGAAACACTCATACCATTAAAAAAAAAAATGAATGAGCTAATATAGATCGACAATTTAGTATGCCGTGCTTACGCTGAACTTAATATAATTATTATATATTAAGCCTGAATATTTAGTTACATTATTCATTGTTCAGTTATTTAAAAAAATACTTTAAATAACGCCAATTTTAAAAATATATACAAAATATGGTAAGTAACAATATTATTATAAAATAAAAATAAATGTTTATGAAAAGTAAAACATTTTCTAGTATTGTTATGTGTAAAAATTGATATAATATGAATACATTTATTAAAAATTACATGATATTGGTATGTATATATAATATATATTATTTGATACTTTATATTTATTTTAATACTATTTTTAAAATTATTTATTGCTATTATCAAATAGTACACAGCTTATTATAGGTGTCATAAATATATAAAATCTGTATTCTATTACTTTTTAGGTACGTCTAGTATGGAAAATAAAATGGTAGTAAATGCAGATGATTATAATCAGAAAAAAAAAATAGATCCAAATTATTTACTAGATGATCGAGAACATATTAACAAAGTAATAAATATTGAATAATTATTATAATTTACTTTTAACATATACTATATGCATATATATTGATGGTACTAATTTTTGGTTTTTTTTCTGTGGTTTTAGGTAACTAAAGTATCGTGGATTTTAGTCGTAACAACAATAAGTACTAGTTTAGGCTGTTCAATTCCTGCTGGTTATAATACCGGAGTAGTAAATTCCCCTGCAGAAGTTAGTATTCAAGTTAAATTTTACTTTTTAACATTTGTAATTAAGTTTTTATGTTTAATATTAAATTATATAAGACAAAAATTATTAAGCTATAACAAAAAAAAAAAAATTAAATCTTTTAGATATTGAAACAATGGTGCAATGAAACTATCATGTATCGATATGCTGTACAATTTTCACCCGCTCAACTTGATGGTCTTTGGTCTATACTGGTTTCCGTATTCTTGATTGGCGGCATAATTGGTGGTGTAGCTGGTGGTAAATTAGCAAATTCATTGGGCAGGTAAGTTATTTTAAATACTGAATTTTTATAGTTGTGTAATATTACTCAGCCAATTAATTTTTTTCCTGCTGTGGAGGTACGAATTTTCCAACTATAGGTGAGAGCATTATACTAGCACCATAACATCCTACTGTGTTAACTACGTAATCTTCAAAGTTACTCTCTAATTTCCATAGTACACCACTATTGTCAACATCTATATGTGTTATTGTACGACAGTCTGCACTTTTCTTTACCTAAAATCAATGTTATCTTTGATACTGACAGTGATATTGCTATGATTAACTATAATACATCATATAAATTATAATATACTATACTGATATAAATTTACTATTTTAATATTTTCTTCTAAAAAACTTTCTTTTGTGTCCCAACTATATAAATTATTCAACCCTTTTATTCGGAAATACATTATTGAACCATATGCAGAACCTAAAACTACCATTTTGCAGGGTTTTCGTCCAACGTCAATTATACATTTCGGATTAATTCGTTTTTGTAAATCTTTGGTGCGTACTTTAAACATATCTGAGCTCGACAAATAGGTGAAATATATGTAATTGGAATTAAAATTTTCAATCAAGACTAGGTAAAACACATCTTCTGTAGAAAAATCTGTGCATGTTGTAGTTGAAGAATATGGCAATTTTACTCGGTAGCCTTCGTTAACTTGTACGTTCCACACAATAATTGAACGAGTTCCTCCGTCTCCGATATAAATTATTGGTTTATCATTGTTTACATTATCATATTCGACAACTATGTATTGTAGTCGACTGCGCGTGCGACATATTAACGGCCTGAGTGGTATTCTATGTACTATCTATAATAATTATAAAGTAATAGTAATCATTTTGTAATAAAGCTTTAAGATTAAACTAAAATTTTATAATATTACGTAAAAATAACTTTTTAACATTTTATTGACATTCGATAAGCAAATATTTAACAACCGAATAAAAATGCATTATAAGCACAATAGGTACTAAGCGTTTGCATAACATTACAAGACATAAAGTTTTTTACGAAAAAAATATATCTGTAGATAGTACGAATGAAAACAAACCGCATTGTATTGGTACTTAACGGTCTTAACGCTGATGTCATAGTATGTTAACATAAACAAAGAAAAAAAAAATGAGTGTAAGAATTGAAAGTGTTATTTTTTATGAGTAAGGTATAAAAAATTATAATTGGTTGTTTGTTATACTCTGTATTTACGTAAGATTTAAATAATTATGTCGATCTCAAGTAAAAATATAATCATAAAACATAATTTTTCGTTCTGGATAAGATTGTATGTGACTTACAATAAATTAAAATAGATGTACATTTTTCTTTCAACGCTCGAATACATCTAGCTACTCTATACAAATTTTATAAACATATTTTAATTAAATATTAACTAATCAAGACACTAACATCTTTTGTGTAGGTGAACATTTCGATGTTTTATGGAACATTAAAAAAATGTGGCGTTATTGAACTCCTTTATAAGTATTAAATCAAAAAAAAAAAAAAATAAGCTGCCTTAAATAAATTATTTTTTCATCATGATCGACGAGTGGCCTATCCATATCTTTGATATCTATGATACAATAGTTATATATTAATTATTATGTGTTATTTTGTAACTTACACGTCCATCTCCATAGTCAATTCCTAATATTTTTGCTTCAGATTCTCTCTTTGGAGTTTCTTCTAAGGTATTTATAATTCCTATATCCAATACCCAAACTATACCATTTTGACCCATGTATATGTCTATGGCATTTACAATGGATTTACTTTCATCTGTGGTACTCTTCTCTAAACTAGGAAATGGTCGCACATAGTTGAAACATTGGTCTTTATCATAGAGCATTAATTGACTTAACGTGAATGGCACACCTTCCCTAAATCGTTAGACTTTATAGTTTATTTCAATATTAACGTCTCCGTAGTTTTTACTTTATTCAAAGCTTATTTAAAATTGTTTTTCTTATATTTTTACTTGTAACGTGGTGAAACCAAAATCACTTGATTTCCACAGATTTGAAACCTTGTGAAAATGATATTTTTTGGTATACAACGTTTTTCGTGTAAATAATCGGCTTCAATTTTTTTACTTGGCCATTCAATATAATGTCCATTCAACATGTGTGGTTTAAAAATAGTTGTAACGTTGTGTACAATATTTTGAGAAAATACATAGTTATTGGCATAACACATCATTAATAAACCAAAATAAAGTCTCATAATATTATGATTAATTTAAATATAAAATACGTACTAATTGAATACATCATATTTTATATATTTTGAAAAATATTATGATTACTTAATGTTGCTTTGGTTACAAATTCGATTATATTAATCTAACTAGCTAACGTTCCAACGGTGTTCTTAAAATAAAGTTTATTTGAATCTTAAATAATATAATATATTATATCATAACAATTACGGTACCTAATATAGATTAGATAACCTAACCTATTCAGGTAACCTTAATCCTTATTATAATACGTAGCATGCTTTCTGATACAAAAATTAGTAGTTAATTATTGCGTTAATTGATAATAAATAAGTTCAGTAAACATATTATAATTAGTCATTTTTTTTTTCCAGGAAAGGAACTTTACAACTTATATACCTGATTAATTTAATATCTGGTATCCTATTTTTTAGTTCTAAATCATTAGCTCATGTAGAATTATTTTTCATTGCAAGACTTTTATCTGGTCTATCCGCTGGTAAGAATCATTATTCGTTATTTTTAATATTATTTCGCATATTTTATCATTTTATTTTTAAATTAATTATGTATTTAAATATCCACCAAAATATTAAATATTTGTTTTAGGCCTCACTATGGCAATGGTACCGATGTATTTATTAGAGTTATCGCCTCCCGATAAGAGCGGTGTATTTGGTGTGATGTTTACAGTAGGTTTGAACTTTGGTGTAGTATTATCTCAATTTTTAGGCATGGGAAATATTTTAGGTTAGTAAATATTTTGATTATTAAGATATAATATACAAGAATGAATTCAATGATATAATTTTATAATTTCAGTAATGTATTAAGATTGCAATAAAAAAATAAAAATAATTAATAGACATTCATAATATATTTTTTAGGAAATGAATCATCGTGGCATTACTTATTTAGTTTGTATGGAATTTTAGTATTATTAGCACTTTCTACTTTAAAATTTGTTCCTGAGAGTCCTAAATACTTATATACTGTATGCAATGAACACAACAAAGCATTATCAGGTATTAATCATTTAAATATTAATTCTAGGACTAAAATTATTAAGTTGTAAAATACAAAATAGTTATTTATTAAAATATGATTTCATAAATTGTTCTTAATTTTTAGAACTAAGCAATTTAAGAGGAATGCCAATATCTGATATAAGTTGGGAATTAGAAAATTTGCTTATTTCTCCTGAAAGATGGACGTTTAGAAGGGTTATGAAAGAACCTTCTAGCCGTAAAGCCATTATAATAACCTGTATAATAATGTTGGGACAACAACTTTCTGGAATTAATGCAGTAATAATTTAATATTATATAAATATTAGTGCGACTAAAATGAGAAGGAATCCGGTTCATTAATTCCCTTTCAGTGTTACAGAAATTTTCATTTTTCACAGCGACCTGCGTATTTTTTAACCTAACTTTCCTAACCTTAAGCTTTCCTTTTTCAGAAGTCAAGTTGTGTCAATTATTATTTAAAATTTTAATATTTCTGTACTGAGCGTTGCCCGTGATAAAATAGTTGTCCTGAGATTTACCACTTATAAAACTCCGTTAAATATAAACTGCATAGATTTTTTTTACACAGTTATTTAGATTGTTTTGACCAAGTATAAAATAAATATCTAAAATTATATCCAATCATGGTAATTATTTTATTTTCTGTAACTAACTATAACAATAAACAATATGTATAAAAAAATGAATCATAGTTTTAGAGTGAGTGAATTATACTCAACATGTATATGTTAAAAATAAAAAGTAGACTCTATGATGCATCTTGCAGAATCTATTAACGTAAATGTTAAAAATTCGGTTGAAAATGTTTATTTTCTTAAGGTTCATCCATTTCAGATCTTTTATTTTATATATAGTTGATATATTTATTAATTATAGCTAATTCTGCTATTATTTCGATTATTTTTTACCAATTTTAAAATACTAATTTAATATTCCAAAAAATCCTTGTGTAAGCGTTCTTTTTTAAAATGCAATATTTAAAAAATAAATAAGGTGTACTTTCTCAGATATAGGATCTCCTAGGTATATACCTACCAAATTTCAAAAACATAAGCGCAATCGACTTGACTGTACATTTTTATTAATATATATTACATAACTGTTTTTAAATAATTCTATAGGTGTTTTATTATTCTACGTCAATATTCATAAATGCAGGCATGAGCACTGCTAATGCTCAATATGGAAATTTAGGCGCAGGAGTAATAAACTTTATTGTAACTATTCTATCAGCAACATTTATTGACAATTTTGGACGCAAAACATTGCTGTTATTTAGCAGCGCTATTTGTGTATTGATGCTCACAGCGTTGATGATTTCAATGCTTTTATCGTCTATTGTAAGAATTTAAATTATATAAGTTATTGGCTTACTGATAATTCAATATTATTTATTAATGCTTAAAACAAATGTGTTTAGGGTACAATACCTGGAGTATCTTATTTTTTGATAGTATTCGTTATTGGTTATGTCTTATTCTATGGATTTGGATTAGGACCAATCCCATTCTTTATTGGATCTGGTGAGTTATAAATACATTTCATTCATGTTAAATATTACAAATTATAATCCGATTACTTTTTTTTAGAATTAACCGATGTTGGGCCCAGACCTATTTTAATGTCTGCAATGAGTGTTGCTAATTGGTCTGGAAATTTTTTAGTTGGACTTACATTTCCTTTTGTTTGCCTAATTCTCAAACAATACTCTTTTCTTCCATTTATCGTATGCACCGTATTTTTAATTATATTTACATGGTAAGTATTTAAAATTGATTTGTATATATTATATATCTATTATGATACATGTTATATTATCATGTATAATTTACACAATCTATACAGGAAAGTGGTTCCAGAAACCAAACCATCTATTGACCAACAGAGTGTTGATAGTGAATAAAAGCCGAGATTTTATTATTTTACTTAAATGTTTTATTAAAAATTATTATTGACTGTGATTGTATATTATCTATAGAACGTTTACAATAATCGAATTTAATTGATGTAATATAAATCTATACTGAATTTTTCATGTTAATTTATTAACATTTAAAAGATTTATTTGTTTAAGTTTAGTACATATATAGCTTAGTATATAATTAGATGTATATTTTTTAATATTAGTACACTACGAGTGTGTTATGATGGATAATAATTATTTTAATAAAGCTCCCATTTAAATTACTTCAAAACTTACCTTTTAAATATTGATTTCTAAAAAAAAAATGATGAACACTTGGGTTAGTGAAAAATTCAATTAAATTTCTCTTACAATTATTATAGTTGAAAATTAAAGATATTTATTATAAAGGATAATTTTTTTTCAAACTTTGCAGTTGTTTCAAATAATTTTTAAAATAAAAAAAAAACCAAATCAAGGATCATAATTGTTTGTTTATAGTTGATAGAAGGTAAAGATAATAAACAGTTCTTAATGTTCAATAAATCGTATTCATATTTTAGTTATACTAATAATTGTCTACATATAAATTATCATCTGATCGTATACTCATTATTCTATTTTTTATTGAATTTATTTAGACGGAGTACCTATAATATCATTATAATATCTACGTACTGCTTTTCATAATAAAATTAAGCATTAAATTAATATATCTATTTTTTGTATTTGAAGTACTGACAAATAGTAATAAAAATTAAGAATAAACTTTATTGCCATCAAATAAAATACTACAAATTTATATTTATTCGTTTATACTTCTATAATTGTATAGTATATTTATTTATATATAATATTATAAATTATAAATTAATTAATTATGTTTATTTATACAAATATAATAATTTAAGTTCCTTAAATAAAATTAACCTATTTAATGTTATAATTATGTCCATGTAAGTTTGAATCTATATTTATTTAATATAAAAATACATTTTCTATAGAACCTATAATATGTAATTGATGAATTATAGTAAAATATTACTAAACAAAAAAAATTTAATTTTGGTAGTTGGTTATTTGTTGATTTCACAATAATGTATATAATCTTTTATCACAATAAAAATGCTCGACTTTAAAGGTGTTTTTTATTTTCAAATTTGATTTAACCAGTAATTAAAATAATTTTTCTTGCTTTACAAAATTATTGAGAAAAAAATTACGTAACAATTTTACATAAAAACAATTCTTGATAAAATCAGTTTACATTTTCCTTGTATTATCCAACAATAAATAGTAGTAGACACTAGAGAGTAGAGACTTAAAATGTTTGCCAAATATTTATATTAATATTAAATTGTGCTATTTATATACTTGAAATATTTAGGCTTTCTTAACTTATGTTAGATGTTTATCAGTGAAAAGCTTGACCCAAATTAGTTTTCTTTACAGGTATTTAAAAACGCTAAAAATAAACATCCACTATTTTTTTCAGTAATTATTTAAACATTACATTTTGACAAGATCATTAAAATTGCAAAAAACTGAAAGTTATTATTTTTAACTAAAAATCAAATTAAAAATTTTAATGGTTTATAGTTCATAATTCATAAACAATACATATCATAGTAAATTTGCAACATTTTTTTTATAGATATTTGAAGTTTGAATTTGGACAAAATTTAATATTTAAACGAAAGATATATTTAATTATTTTTTATTTCATAATAATTTAAAATTTATTTCATAACAATCTTATCAACGATTGTTAAGTATAGTCGAAAATTGGTCGATATCTCTCAAATAGTCAAAAATATTATACATTTAATTGTAAATTAATAAAATCATTATAAATATTAACCAATTAACATAACAAAAATATTACCACTTACATAAATATTTATGTGCACGTAAAGAATTGTTTTTGTTAAAATAGTTTCTGTATGAATACTAAGTATATAAATCGCAATAAGTATGAACATATGAAATTTAATCGTGAGTGAAGTAACTTATTTTTTCAAAGGTACCAGTCTAGTACATATTTATTTTATAATATCAATATTCATTATATTAAACTAATATTTAATTTATATTTCAGTTATTTCAGCAAGAATTTGCTTACTTATATTATCCCCTGTAGATTTTAAGATTCTTAGATTAAGTGTGCTGCATCCACTAAGAATTTTTTTCGTGTATACCTATCTACAATAATTTATCATTATTATATTTGATTCAAATTTAATACATCGATTTCAGTGACTTACTCAACTACTATGAGATACAAAATCATTTATATAGCCCAACTATCAAGTTTTCCGATTTTTAAATATTAGTATGTACTTAATAATTAATAAACAATATTATTATGAATTAGGTTAAATAGTTACAATAGTGTCAATGCATGTTGAACAAAAATGTCTAAAATAAAAAGCAAATTATAAAAAACAATATCAAATTTTAAACGGGTCATAGAACATGATGGTATACAACAATTAAGGAACACCATCAAGCCAGAGGAACAAATTATATTATTTATGTACTACATAAATGTATACTATACTATATGTAGTCAGTCGGACGCACAGCAGTGGCCACCATAATTTTATTATAATTATAATCATATAGGTCGATTTACTAGACGGCACCCTGACATGTACGAAACACTAAACAGTAATATTAATTTACCCTTGAAAATTTTGTTGTCCTACTAGTTACATGCGGACAAGGTACATAATGTGCATGAAGACTAAAAAACTAGGATATAAAATATACACGGAAATAACAATTTCTCTTTAAAAATCTAACGTCTTATATAATGCATATTTATGTAAGCGCATAGAAAATATATAATCCGACAAAATAGTTATAAAAAAAAAAAAAAAAATCATTAACAAAATTTAAGCATAATTTGTACTTGAATGCCCCTTACGTAAAACGAAGATCTGTCAGCCTATACAATTAAGATTTAAGTTTATTTCATATTTATGTTATATATACTGTTATGTTATATTACTGTTATGTTATATTACTGTTAGTTATACGGTTTAAATAATAAATAGCTTAAAATTAATCTAAATATTTCGAAAATATTGCGTATAGTAAAATTTAAGGATATACGTAAACATTTCAAATCCCTACAAATATACTTCAATTAGTTAAATTTCGACAAAATTACTTAAATTATTATTCTTGATGTTTAAATAAAATAAAATATATCATAATTTACTTCATATTCAAGCTTTTTTATACGAGCCTAAAAATGTTTATCACATTTTATGTCTATAATTACCTTAAAACCAATTTACGTTAAAGATTTTATTAAATGTAGAAAATAATTATTACATAATATGTAATTATAATTATATAATTTAGACTTGAATATTATTCAAGTCTTAGATATAACAAATTGTCGCGATTTTTTTTTTTGAGATAGCTTAAGAAAAAGTATATGTATATAAAAAGATTTTATAATATGATCTTAAATTTATCATTATAATATCGTTTTTTATATGTATGGCACGCTTCTTACTACCTACCTAACAATTCGCTTATTTTTCGATTTATATTATTCAAATTCATTCGTTTAGATGATATATGGTCAAATGCGTCACACTCATCAGTCATTATAGAAATATTATTATGGTTTGCATTCGTCAGCTATTACAATACTTACATTTTATTATGTACATTCCTTGTTATTTTTAAAATAAAAAATGTATCTAGATACTAAAATAATTAAATTGATTACAAATAAAAATAGTTTCATTAAATAAAAGGCTTTAGTGAATATTTTCTTATGTATTATTTCATACCTATTTGTATGTTATATAGAGCTTAGACTACCCAAGCCTAATAATTATAATCTATATTCAATTAACCAATTTGAATTTGAAAAAAAAAAGTGGTACTTAATATGATAATCATATAGTTACCTACTCAACGTTATAAACGAACAATTCTCATAGAATTATAAAACCATTTTAATATACCTACAATAAATTTGTTTATTATTTCAAAAAAATAGATAACGTGTAATAGTAAATAGGCAATTAAAAAATTATTTATTTATAAATAGTAAATCATATTTGATATTTATCGATGCATTATTATAATATTGTGTATAGGTATTCACTTATCATTGAACATACTACTTCATATTTCAATATTTTTTTATTTTTGTAGCATGATTTCCTGCAACTTTCAAATATTTTTATTATTAAGTTGTTACAACATTGTCTATTCATAATGATGATTATTTATAAAACAAAATATATTTTTAATATTTTAAGCAAGGATCTTAGGAGTTACTAAAATTGACCTATAGGTAGTACCTAAAAATACTTAGCAGTTAGTATCCTTAATTACCTCTCTATAATAACTGTGTTAATACACAGTACAATAATATGTATTTTTTTATACATAATAATAATTATACCTGTTATCTACAAATATTTAAGTAATATCATGTCTACCGTCGTTAAACGTTAATAGTTGTTAGGTACTTGTTTGCTTTATTGAATTAGTAAAATTATTTATATGTAGTTAACCTTAGTATACTTTATCCTGTCTTATGGCTATCTCGACCTTGAGTTAGCATCATATACCATGGTCATAATATCAGGTACCTATTTTGAATTTTCAGATAATAATATTACTCCACGCTGTGGTGACATCAAAGACAAATATTATATCAATTAAATAGTAAATACCTAATCAATGACAACAGCAACAAAAATAAAAAAACAATAAAAACACGAATAACTTATGGATTATTGCGCGTATTTAAAAATATATAATAGAGTTTTAGTACGAAATTTACAATTTGATACGATTTTCAGTCATAATGAATCCTTTGACTTGCGATAAAGCTAATTAACGGTATCATATCTACCAACTTCAGTAGCACTGTTAACTTTCTCCGCTAACTTCCTGTAGTTGCAGCAAGTACTGATCCACAGATTTTTCTTCAAATTTATTTTTGAACTTCTTTTCCGTTATTCTAGTTATTGACGTGCAGGCCTTACAACTGTTACGTTAGAATTGGTATATAGTTACATAGGTACTGTCTACTTTTTTTCTTTTAGAATCAAGCATTTTTGACACACGTATAATTTTTTCTCAAATTTATCAACCTCCTCTCCAATAGTTGACTACTAAAAACTAACAGAGTGGCATGCCATTTTTGTTTACTACTATTATAATTTATAGTATATTTTAAACAAAGAAATATTACAAATACCTGAATTCTCTATAATATGCTAACTGTTCATAACTATGATAATATTACTACGTAATAAACACTATTGCACATTTAAGTAATTAAATTATTATACTGTTTGGTCGTTTGGACTATGATATATGGTACAAATATAAATCACTGAGTGGTTGAATATTATTATTGCGAAGCGACGACACATCAGCAACGTGGTAAATATAATGTATTAGGTACTCTTCGCCCTATGATAAATCAATTGTAGGTATGTCAATATTTAAATATTATGTAATTATTTGTTTCAAGTTTTCATAGATACATTTATCCATGTAAGTATTTAAATTATACATAATATAATGGTTGCATTAAAAGGTTCTTAGGAAATGAATAATTTTTTTTTTTGGAGGAGGAGGGTGGAAGACTAATAGGTAAAATATACAAGAATAACATTTTTCCCACACGCACAACCAAATAATTCGGTGCATCGAATTGCGTCCCAATGATATTTATCGAGTACACGAGTAGAATCCAAAAGTAAAAACATAATTTTCCTAAAGACTTAGGTCTGTCAAATAACATATTAACTATTGGTAGGTTAAAAAATATGGTTTTTTGCAATTAGAAGTAAATATGTAAATTAAATTAGTATTAAAGAATTATATGACGTAAAAACATAATTTTCTTTTCCGTATACAAACTATAAGTATAATCTGTTTAAAAGTTACCTTACCATTTGAAATAGAACTGGGAAAAAATATAATCATAAAATAGTCGTATGAATAAAACCGGATACAACTCGTGTAATCATTTAGATAAAGCCGGGCGCAATTCGTGGGGGAATAGTAAGTTCCTACACGAGAGTAGCAGGTAAACAATTACATATGTTAGTTCCTACACGGGCATATGTAAGTTCCTACAGGGTAAAAACCAGGTACCTATGTTAGTTCCTACACGGCGGAAAAAGGTACATATGTAAGTGTACCTATATGTGTATATATGTGTAAATATGTATATACGAATAAATATATGATGATTATATATTATATAATACAAATCGCATAACACATTTTCACAAATAAGCATATTATAATAATTAGATTTGTTATTGAAACTTTATACGCTGGTATAGCTATTTAATATAGGTAACTACATTCAAATATACTTATAAATAATACTTATAAATGTATATACGAAATCACTGGAAAATACGACAAGCTACAAGCTGATAATATTTTCCCCTATACCGACTCGACGTAAGGAAAAAGATAAAATATCTTATTATCTATATTTTTGACATACAAAATATTTATGACTTTTCATCATCGATAAAAATGATACAGAACTTGATTTTGATTTGATAATCTTAAAATTAGTTATAAGTCTTATAACTATACACAGTAAAATGTACATCTAGTTATTTCTCTTAAAAGTTTTGTTAGTATTGTTCGAAACATCTGAGTGTCCGTACATATCCGTTTATACTAATCATATACAGTTATACAAATTCACAATGAGCGAGAATGTATCATTCATGTTGAGTGAAAAAGGCAAACAACTACTAGTTTTGAATAATTTTAAATTTTTTAAGCATCATACATCTAAAAAAAATGAAATTACGTGGCGTTGTGTAATAAATAAGTGTAGTGCAAAAGTTTATACTTTGGGTCAAAATGCCCAATTAATTAATACAGATAAATCGTGTTTTGATCACCGCCATGCAAGTGATAGCACTTTAAATCGGCAACAAATAAGCAATGCTTGCAAAAAAAAAGCTGTAGACTCTATAGTTGAAAAACCGTCAAAAATAATACGAAAAGAAGTATCAAATTATGTTAATGAAGGAGATTTGATTGCACCCGACTTAAAACTCATAGCAAGGAATATTCATAATGCAAGAATGCATTGTTTCCCCAAACTGCCAACATCAAGAAAAGAAGTTCACGAAATATTAAGTTTATTAGACATAAAAACAAATAGAGGTGAGTTATTTTTATATAAAAATGACGCGCTAAATGAAATAGTTATTTTTTCATGTAAAACAAATATAGATTTGTTAAAAGAATTAGATGTTTTATATATGGATGGTACTTTTAACTATAGTGATAAATATTATACGCAACTATACACGATTCATGGCATTAAAAATGGAGTGTACATTCCGTTAATGTTTTGTTTATTGCCAAATAAAGAAAAAAAGACTTACATTGCATTATTAAAAACAATAAAAATAGCTGGAGTAATACCTAAAAAAATTATTTTAGATTTTGAAATAGCAATGCATCAAGCAGTTTTTGAAATTTTTCCGGAAACAGAGGTGTTTGGATGTCGTTTTCATTTGGGCCAAGCTTGGTACCGCAAAATTCAAAATTTAGGTTACGCACCACAATTTAATTCTGCAAATGACGATGTAGGAAAATGGTTAGTACATATTTTTGGACTTCCTTTTCTCAATCCAGAGGAAGTGGCAGAATGTTTTACAGAATATTTTATGGCAGACAAACCTGAAAATGCAACTATAACCGAATTTTGTGATTATTTGGTAGACAATTATATATCAAATGAATCAATCTTTCCTCCGAAAATGTGGGCGCGGCAATGTTCTGATAGAGTCCATACGACAAACGCTTGTGAAAGTTTTCATTCAGATTTTAACTCTAATTTTTATCACCAACATCCAAATATTTTTAAAATTATTGAAATTCTCAAACTCTTTCAAGTAAATACGTATATAAAAATAAGAACTACAATTAATAACCCAAAACCAAAAATCAGTAAAAAATACGCCGAAAAAGAAGATTTTATAAATGAAAAAATTTCAGATTATAGAATAAGCAAAATAAATAAATACGATTATGTTAAATTATTAAGTTATAGAAATAAACCTCATAAAATATAAGTTTTCATTTTTATTATATTTTTTACTTTTTATATTATATTATATTCAATTTTTAAAATTAAAATGCATTATACGATTTTTATTATATTGTATTATCATCATATATGTATTTATTCGTATATACATCGAATATACATATTTACACCTTTTTTCCGCCATGTAGGAACTAACATAGGTACCTGGTTTTTACCGTGTAGGAACTTACATACGTACCTTTTTCCGCCGTGTAGGAACTAACGTGTGTATTTTTTTTACCTGCTACTCTCGTGTAGGAACTTACATTCGCCCAATTCGTGTACCTTCTTATCGATATTCATATATTGAAACACAATTCATGTGCAGCCAAATATTACGCTACTGAGTACTTGGTGCACTATCTGAACAGGACATCAGGAAATTCACTGACTCACTTAAAATCATATGCTCATGAGTCATAACTCATTCCCAAATCCTAAGTACTAATACACACGTCGTATTTCACTATAAATACTCAACTCAAATGGTCACCAAATACCAATTAACGGACAAAGAATAACGTTTAGTGATGAACGATGAACCAGGAATATATTTCATCGATAATATTATAAATATGTGTTAATTGAAAATATAATATATTTTAATTTATTCATATTATATCATTTAGACCAGTGGTTCTCAACCTTTTTGTTGTCACGGACCACCTAGATGGCTTTTAAGTAGAATTACTGACCACTTTAGGTTTTGGTTCAAAAAATAAAAAAGTAATGCTTTATTTTTTTAGTTTTGCCTACAGATTAGTGTATTAAATTTACTAAAAAGTTAAAAACATATTTAAATGTAAAATATAAAATATAACAATACCGGTGTATTAATTACAAAAAAAAAAATAAAAATAAGTATACCATCATTTTTACTAATACAACACGGACCTGTTTCTTTTTTATTGTGGATTGGCGGTTGAAAACCGCTGATTTAGACCAGTGTTGTACAAATCAGACGTTTCTTATCTTATCACTTGTTGGAGTTATCAGTCATTTTTATATTTTTTAATCGTTGTAAGTCAATATTGTTGTCATGGTAAAGTATAATGTCTGATACTTTGATATATTATGGTGTACGAGTAAAGTCCTAACTTTATCACAAGCTTTATCGTAATGCTAAGCTAATCGTATTTAAAACACGATGAGAAAAAATCGAATTACGAATAATGTTAAGTAATAACAACAATAATCAATAACAATAATTAAGGATTACGTCTGCGGTCCGCGAAACACTTGTAATAACATATTTCTCCTTTCCTCCAATTTAATAGCATTTATTAAAGAACATTACCACACGGTCGGCGTCCGTATCCCCCACTTTTAGAAACCTTTTTGACGCACACGAATCGGTTTATTATCGACGGCGGCGATTTCCGGTTCACCTTGTGAATATTGTTGGAATAATAATAATAATGCAGTTTCGTGTACACATTACATACCTATTATATTAAACATATTTTTTCCCCGTAGCTTTCCATTCGACTATGGTTGCCGACCGTGTCCTTTCCCTCTGCTAGCTTCCGTCGGTCGTGGCAGTCGCGAACAACGGCACAACGCTGAACGGCCGAACATTCGTCAGTCGTCAGTACCTGCACAAACGTCTTGTTATAATCTCTGTCGGTCGTTGCGTTTACGTCCGCTTTCGCATTTCATAATCGTGACATTGTTTCTTTTTTTTTTTGCTTAGTCCGATTCTTCGTTGTATTATGCGAGTGTATCACTGCGATCGTCGTCAATCTTTAAAATAAGCACAATTTTTTACTATTTATCTTATCAAGTTAATCACCACTGAACAAAACATGAATAAATTCGCCTTGCCTGCGCTGCTAGTCTGTCTGGGTGAGTGTTATGAATTTGCGTCTTTGTGCCATACTGTCATATAATACTATATTGTACCAACTCGCTTTCCAATAATTCTGTTGTATTATACCCCATACATTTGTGTGTTTTAGTTATTGGCAACAATGTTAACTGGGGTGTCAGTGGAATTGAAGGAGAAACAGATTTGAACGATTTACAAGACACTGTGAAAAAGAAGTTTGACTCGCTTGTACCTGGATTACCCAATTTGGATCAGTTTAATGAGTCTATACCGGCCTTAGACGAAGGCGAAAGAGTGTTGAAAGAAAAATGTTTAAAAAATAGCCAATCCAATGACTCTTATGAAATGACTGTGGTAAGCCATTTAATATTTTTATTTTTCATTTTTAATTCAATCTATTTTTTAAAAGAAACATTAAAACATCTATCTAGTTATTGGAAATGTAGAAATAGGTACCTAAATGAGTTGAGTTGTGTGTTTGGTATTAGTATATTTTGCTGAGTGTTAATTATCATCAAAAATATTCAACATTCATTATAAAACTATTAAAATTATGTTTTATTCTAGTAAATAGTTTTTTATTTATTCATTTTGTAAAGATTGTAAATTCTATAAACTAGACTATCTCGCTTACAGTAGTTTATAATATTTAAAAGTTGATAACCCCTATAATCTATATAGGTACCTGCATTAATGATTTAATGTGTCTCAATAAAAGATTCTTAATTTAATTTATAAACCTTTATTATTATTTTTTCTTATTTAAATTTATTCTTATTTTTTTTTTTTAAATGCAATAAAGTTAAATGTATCTAGACCCCACGGTGCAATGACCTTTTAACTTATTGCTTATAATATATGTACCTATGTAAATTTAAAAAAAAAAACTCTAACCTAAATATTTTAAAAACGTATAAAAAAAATTTGATTTGACAAGACTTAATAGTTAAGTAGTTAGGTAGGTACTTAATTTTTTTAAATTATGTATTTTTGAATATTACTATTATATTTAGTTTGTTAATATTAAATATATTTTTAAAATTAAAAAGGGAGAAAGTAGGTTATTGTTTTGCTGTACAGTAGGGGTTTAGTACATCTTGTCAATCATTATTGGGTAAATCACTTATGTATGAGTTAAATTTGTATTCTATGATAAATTATCGCATTTCATAAACAATTCTGAACAACGTATGTTTGTCAGCTTATAAACTAATTACTAGATATATACTACAATGTTTTATGATATATTTATATTGCTATTAGGTACCTGTGGTTTTTTTTTTGTAATATTAGTAATATAAGCAAGTTGAATTAATCTTTACTAAAAACATTAAATTTTAAAATATAAAAATATACCTTTACAAAAGTTTCAAGTCCTCACTAATAATATTTTTGAGTTCTAACAAAATAACTAAAATCATAATTTTTTGTTTAAATAGGTATCTAATTTTATCCAAATTTGAACTTAAAATGTCTAAATAAAAAAAATGTACTTATACATTTTCTTAGAATTTCTTAAATTCAATAATTTCACCAAATGGTGATAATTGACTCAACAAACAAAAAAAAAAATAGAAAAAACCTAAATCAATATATTCATTGTTCAGAATCTAAAATATGTTTATTTAAAACAATTGCACTAGTGTTTAACTATAAATTAGAATGAATTTATTAGTAAATTATCACCTATATTAAAATATTTTAATCATAGATATTCTTTAAGATATTTAAGGTTATCTATAAATATTAAAATGTTATACCTAATTTATTTTTTTCTGTATACACATTTTTTATTATTTGGTTAGTTAGTTCTTATAATAATACCAAAAATCAAGAAAAATAATAATTATTTTATTGAATATTAATTAAATACAATTTACTTTGTACAATTAGATTGACTTATACTCTTAAAACTTACCAAAATAATAATAAACCTTAATTTAAATTAATCTAAAAAAGTATACTTGATTTGTTTATTTTATTTCAGTCATAGATCGCACCAAAATATTAATTACCATTATATCTATAATATATAGTTTCAAAAATTAAAATATTTATAACCATTAAATATTAAATAAGATATTTAATTTAAATTATTTATAAGTATCCAATTAAGTTAAATTACGCTTTCATAATGCTCTAAGTGTGTAAATGCATTGTTAATATAATATACATATTATATTTACCATGATAATGCACTTATTTAAAATCGTGGTTTAATAAAATCTATATCCCCTATTACTTACAATTTAATTATAAATCCTCAATAGAACTTATGTTAAGTTAATGCAGAAAAAAAAAAATTTTATTAAGGTATTGGTACCTATGTAAGTAGTGTTTAACAGTAAATTATTTATTTGTCTGTTAGGATATAGTATAATTGCATTTTGTATTTAATGGATTGTGACCTACAGTATTGATCCCATTTAAACTAAAAGTCAAACAACATAATTTATTTTGAAAAATAATTACGAATGACATATTCTGTATCATCAACATTTAGATTATTTATTCAGAATGTATTTAAAAAAAATTACAAAAACATTAATTTACAGCTGTTTCAATGTTACCTCTTGTAATTAATGTAATTAATCTTGAGTATTTAGTAATTCTGAATTCAAAGTTAAAAATTTTGCTATTTAAATATAAATCAGATATAAATGTAACATCTTATTTTTTGTAATGCGTGAAGTATTATACCTGGAATCTGAATGTACCTATAATTTATTTTATATTTAATTTTCTCTAACTAGTTCAACTATTTCCTTTTCCCTTAAATTATATCTATTGTTGTAGGTACTATTAGGTAAATTCTTACTGTATACAAGATAATATAAACAAAAAAAAAAATTGTATAAATCGCTTTTATGTAGGTATAGAAGGTGTTTTCTTGTATACTTTGTTATTAAGAAGATAACTACAAATCATTACATAAAAAAATCTATTCATTGACGGTATGGTTGGTATGTCTGGATTTACTTCTAAATATATTTTATAATTTATTTATATTACTCTAAGTAATATAATAGGTTGGATAAATTTTTACTTTAAATATTGAAGTCCTATATTATTTATTAATTTTATTATAATATCATATAAGTACTATTGTATTTATCTAAGTAGCTAATAATGTATTAGTCATAAGTTAACACCAACTTAGATACTGTAAATGGTATAAATATAAATAGCTTAAAATTAGCCCAATATTTTAAAAATTTCACTGGAAACAGAAAAATATTTGGTAGTATTTAGCTGATAAATTCTTTTTACTAATAATTTTGAATTACAACAAAATAACTAAAATCATTATTTTTAATCTATTTTAAAACCAATATATTCATTGCTTTGCTCAGAATCTAAAATGACATGTTATGTTATACACTTATACCTACATATAAAGATAGTTAATACATTCTGTAATAACCTTGATGATTTTTAATAATTTTTACTCAAATTATTATTTGTGGCCTTCACTCTTACAACATGAAAACATATAAATTGTGTGCCAGTGTAGACTCTTAACATAGTTATCACTGATCATGCTGTTAACAAAAGTACTTATTATTGTAGGAATAGATTTTAAACACAATAGTCAAGTACTTGAGTATACTTTTATGCAATTTCATTCCTTATAGCTTCAAGACATATTTTGTATTATATTTAATCATAGTTGTAAAGTACACAGCTTAGCAAGTAATGTATTTATTAATAGGTACCTAACCCTTTCTTATACATAATGTTTCTGTTAATATACCAATTTAGGTCTTTGAATAGTAAATAAATTCTTCAGTTTTAATTCATAAATAGCGGGAAAAATAAAACCATGTAGGCACTACACAATTTTTTTTTACTTATATTATGATTAACATAATTTTTTTTATGCAATAAGCATATTTTGTTATTGTTTGTCTTTAACAATTTTTTTATCAGTGGAATTTTACTGTAATAAGTTATGGCATCATTAATTTTGATTTTTGAGCCTACAGAGTATTTTTAGTTTCAAAGGCTAATAATACCTACAAATAGATTTTAATATTTTAGGAATGTGAAACAACATATAGATGGACAATTTTGTTTTCCATAATTTGCAAATTAAGATCAGAATGGATAGGTTTTAAGTATAATAAGAGTCTAATGTTTAGACGAAAGGGTTTGAACTGAAATATTGAAATTTTTTATAACAAATTATTTTGCAGAATACTATATTTGGATATCATTTATCAATATGAATTTAAAGAGTATTTAAAATGTTAGCTTGATGTACTGCATAAGTAAATTATTTGGATATTAGATTATGGAGCAAGTGTTTTCTGTTGAAATTCTTTTTCGTTTATAGTGGGGTTTAAGTAAGATATTCATCGAATGTTATTCGTGAATACTTATTTTTTTTGTGAATTTTATATTTATATATTATTTAAGATTGTATTTAGAAAATTTCAACTCCTTAATGAAAACTTAATATAATATATAGATTTGATTTTATTAACTTTAAAATGCTGTTTTATATAACTATGTGCTAGGTTATTTAAACATACTTTTATATTAATAAGAACCTATAACAAAGGAGTATTTTATAGTTTTAATAAAATAAGTAAGCATTTTTTTGAAATGCATTGTATATAGATTTTAATGAAGTAATGTAATAAACTTTATGAATTTGGTTAAAACTCATATATTATAAAATACCCTATAACTATAATGAGCATATATATATATATATATATTGCTACTTAAATTATTTGTATACAATCTAGTTACTAAGTTCAAAGTACATTGCTATATTTAATATGTTAATAACATTTTGTTTAATTGCTCAAGTATTGTACACATATTTTAATGCAATTGATCAATTATATTTAAACTTCCTTAAGTTTTCTGTGTTAATGTAATTTTGTATTATGCAATTAAATAAAATGTTTGTCATAACTATGTGCAACATTATAATTTATAGTTTACAATAATAGATATATAATTTATTTTTAAAAAAAACATAAGCATATTTCTTAGTTTTATTAAAATTATTTATAGTTTATAAATACAAATAACCAAATGATAAACATATAGAGTAGAGGTTATACTTGTCTTTTATGATATAGAGTTAAAGAGCAATATGTATTTTATATTAAATTTGATTAAAGACCTTCAATTCTCCTAATTGGACTGGATAAATAAATTAAACATACAATTTTATATTACTATTATCAATGCCACATTATTATATTTGAAGAATATTTCATGATTTTTTTTTTTTAATATTAAAAATATATGTACGTAATATATTATGCTTTATGTTAATTTTTCTGATACTAAAATAACATTGAAAATGTAAATGTCAACAATATGATTAATAAAAAGTATAAATGTAGCATTTATTAAATATTGTTTAATATATATTATTTAATCAGTTGATGTAGATATGTATATGTTACTTATAAAATATGTATTTATTTTATACAGAATATTAGAAAACAACATTTTATTGAAATATTCCCATGAGTGTATTATATAAAGTAAACATGTTTAACCCATTAAATATAAGGAACTATTGTCAGTGTTACAACAATATTTTAATAATATATAATGCATGTTTATATAATAATTAGATATTTATATATTCAAATTTTTTAAATTAATTCTGTTATGTCCAAAGTTTAATAATAAATGTTTATCACATTTTTAAATATATTTAATTTAAAACGAATTAATTAAAATTGAATCTTGGATTTTATTATATTTTAACTAGAATTTTAACTTATTTATAGTACAATCACAAAGTATAATATTTAATAAATCAAATTAAGCTGTGAATATGTATTTAAAAAATATCCTAATTTAGTTTAAAAAGCTATTCATTATTTTTGATATTTTTTTTTTTACATTTTTTGGTAAAAATAGATTAAGCTATAAAAAATCTTATTTATAAAAAATTTAAATTCCGTATAATATAATTTATATCTATTGATAAATATAACCTGTATGTTGTTATGATTGCATAAAAGCATGAAACTCTGGGTTCTTAAGTTTTCAACTACTCAAAAATGTAATAATTTTTTTTTATGAATTTCACTGTAAATATCATTCCTTTCTTGCTTTATATTATTTATCATCAATCACAAATTGTCCCAAAGAATAAAGAAATTTCAATATTTTAATTAATTATAAAATTTTGTCTGAATTAAATTTTAACTTATAAGTTATAACTTTTGAATTACAACAAATCTATAAAATATTCAGTAATTATTTTAAATATATTAATATAATTTTATGATATTTTATATTTTTTTATGCTTATTCTTAAAAATATTTACTTGTAACTTTTTAAGTGAACAATAAATCTTTTTCTTAAATAAAGTATTATTATTAGTTTATAGATATTGAAATTATCATTTAAATTTGATAAGAAATTATACAAAATAATTATTTAACTATTATATGTATGTATAAAAATATGTAATTACAATGTAATATACAACAAATTGACTTATTATCCTTGTGTGTTTAATCAAAAATTTAATTTTTATTAAATATCTATCATGAAATAATAATAATAATTCTATAAACATTTACTTATTTAAATATATTTTTTTTATGTTTTTATTCAATTATTTACTTATAATTATTAAATTGTTTTAACGGTTCATATTTAAAAATTTATACTTTAAATAATTTAATTTTTGTTTTTAGGAGGCAAAGAAAGATTTTGAAGTTTGTGTAAAATCTTTAGTTGATATCGCAGAAATAAAAAAAGAAATTAATGATGCTAAACCTAAAGGTGATCTTGATATGGTATTTAAAAAATACTGCAGGTGAGTAAAACAAAATAAACTGAAAGTGAATACAAATTTATAAGTTATTATTTATATTTTAGAAAGTCACCAGATTTTAAGGATTGTGTTTTAAACTTCACATCTACTATAGACGTTTGCTTGGATGAAGGTGAAAAAGATAGCAAAAAAATTCTTCAGAGTGTCACGGAAGCTTTATTATCATTTGTATGCCATGATGAGGGTGATCGTATAGCATGTAAGTTATAGTTATCAATATAATATGTTTTTTTAAAAACTTGTATTTATTTTTTAATGAATTACATGAATTATTTCATAAATTCATGACTAAATAGTAGTTATTTTAATTAAAATAATAAACTGTTTTATACTTTTAATTTAGTATTTTATTCAGAGGGTGGTCCAGATTGTTTAATGGATAAAAAGGAAGCTATACAACACTGTCTTAATACATCATTCAGTAAGTATATGCCTAATGGTGAACCAAGCTTGTCTAGCTTACCAGCATTCAAATTTGAAGAAGATCAATGCAAGTATGTATCTTGATTAATATAATTTGTGATTAATTATAAGCTAATGGTATTTTTATTTCATAGGAGTATGAGTGAGCTACAAGTGTGTGTAATTGCTGAGTTAGAAAAATGTGGAGAACCAACACCCGCTAACATTATTGAGTCATTGTTCGAGTTTGTACGTCGATCAACTCCATGCTCAAAGTTTCAGAGTGCTCAAACACGTAAAAAATCTTCAGGTGTTTCGTTACATGCAACGATCTCTATTACAGCATTATGTACCTTAACAGTCCTGTTAAGTCGAATTGGATTCTATTAGTATGTTGGCAATACTTACAAAATAACATTAAAATTTTAAGTAAGGCTTAGAATCAAAATCCTTGATATATATTGAGACCTATATTGAACTAAAATAAATTAATTTATTATATATAAATATTAGACAGTAATATTTTTATTTTTGAGTTTTTAGTTAATAAAAAATGATAATCAATTATTGAAAAATACTCGGGCCCTTTTTTTACATATTTTTTAGGAATAGTTAACTTGTACAAATCAATTTAAATAGTTAACATTTTTGTTTAGCTAATATATTTTTTTCCAAACATAATATATATTATTTAAAAATGTTCAAATTGTATTGTTATATAATGTATGGTTTTTAGTTGTCAATCAATATTTTTTACATATTAAAATAGTATCGGAAAATATTAAATAAAATGTAATTACGTCAATATAAAATAATATATTTTTTTTTAATGAAAACAATGTTAAATTATTTCGTAGTAACAATATTTAGTTTTCATAATCAAGAATTAGTTGTTCTTAATTATTTAGGTTAGGTTAAGTGGTTGTAATGGCCTACTACTTTAATCTCAAAGTGTTTGTATAATTATTTATGGTCAATAAGTTTTGGTGTATAGGATAAAAGTATAACTTATTTTATACACACTATATAGGTGTGTATAAGAATTTTTTTATTGTAATTAATGTTTTTTATGTTTACTATTTATTTTATATGTATAACCACAAAATAAAATATATATATATATATATATATATATTTACTGTTTAGTATTACATATATGATATACTGTTTTATTACCAACCAAAGTATATAATATATTCAAAATATTCCTATTAAATACTTTATGAGTTAAATTAAGTTATGTGATACAATCAATATTATTGTTAAATGTAATTTATTACAAATTATTAATCTCAAATATATTTATATATAGTTATTACAACACAGTCTCAAAGTCTTAAGATGACTTACTGACATGTATTGTTTCTATTTTATAAGTGTGTAATATAACAAATTTTACATACAAAATAATCTATTTAACTGTTATGAGTATTTTAAGATGTTCATAACTTTTTTTATTATTGAAATAACAGAAAACCCACGAACAGTACATAATATTCTTACTTTTAAATTTAGTAATAAGTCAATTCATTCTAATATTAAAAAATAACTGTGGAAAATAAATTATTTTGAATTTAAAGTTTTGTATGTTATGCATTAGTAAAATGAAGATAACTCATGCTGGTACAACATCCTTTTGAAATTTAAAATGCTTTGTATGGTTAATTGATCAATAAAAATAAATTATTGAATCACTAAAGCCTAAAAGAACCTTGTTTTTATTACAACATTGGTCTTTACAATGATGACAAAGAATTTTGACAAGCATATTATGTTTTTATTTTTGATTAATTTAATTACTTAAAAAGTACTTAATACATAGTATTATTATTTAACTTGGATAAATTATAAAATAGTATTTCAACTTATTGGACATGCTATACAAACAAAAATTAAAACAATAAAAAAATCAATTGGGCTTATTTTATTTCAAATACTTACATCTGTGTATAACTGTATAATATATTTAAAATCCTATTTCTCACAGTCCGGTGTTCGGGCTTAAGTAAATAATTGTAATTAAACATTAATGAGACTTATGCCGTTTAACTAAATTTAAAGTATGACTACAAGTTATTCTATCAGTTAAGAAAAATGTTGTGAATGTGGTATTCCTAAATTTTTGGTGCACTATAATCTATCCTGCACTACTTACACCTTAATTTTTGTCAATGAAAAAATATATTTTCTTTTGGATAATAAATTATGTATTCAGTGAAGATGCAAAAATTAGAAAGTTATAGTCATATCAATTTTCTCAGTGCTAAGAAGTGGTAGTGAGTAAGTTCCTAATTCTTTTTAAGTACTGAAAAAGTATTAGAAAATTAAGTATTTTGTATTTATTAAAACAATTTATTGAATTATAATTAAATTTAGATATAATATTAATATTAATTTACTAACATGGATAAAATCATTTTATCAATACAAATAATAATATCAATAATCGATATTAATTTTCAATTGGGTGTTATAAGATTGATTAAAAAAAAAAGAAGTTTGGAGACCAATAGGCGCAAGCCTTAGAGATAAAAGTCTTTTGAGAAGCGAAAATTAATTTTTAACTTTGAGTAATATCGGTGAAAAAATCGGGTGATCGCGTTCTATTTTCGGTAAAATAAAAAAAAAAAAACAAGTTATTTAATATAATTAAATGTATGAATTAAGCATTGTTATATGAACAGATATCAGTTGGATGACTGTGAGAAAAAGTATAAAAATAGCTGTATATCTGTTATATTATTATTTATTAATATCGAAATTGTGTAAAATATAAAAAAAAAAAAATGTGATGATAAAAAATAGGCAGAGACGCCTGAATGTAAACATTGCACATCGTAAGAAGTGAAAAAATGTTCCACGTACTAAACAAAAACTAAAATTGACAGTGAATGTATTTTATAATACAATTAACACATCTGGTTTCTAAAAATAAAATGTCAAGAGGCACGGTACACCCACCGTAGGTGAATCCTAACAATAATTTAATATATGAATATTACACGTCCACAATTGTTGTACGATCAATAACATAATTCACACATTTACTGCGAGTATTACGAGTATATTATTATATATATATATATATATGTGTGTGTGTGTGTGTGTGTGTTTCTAAATCGTTTGACTATTCGAGCTTAACTAATGTTAAAAACAAACAATAATACATTTTTTACTAATTAGAGCCTTAAGTATGTGTTATATACAAGAGGGAGAAACGCTATCGTTGGAGTGACACATTGACACGTATACCTATTATGTTATGACCAAAGAAATATAAACCGAAATACGCCCCTACGATAGTGGCGTATTTTGAGGAAGTGTTTTCCATGTTTGGACACCCCCGGATTTAAAAATAATAAATAGCCCATTATATTAATAGATCCGACGATACGTTTCGAGATATATTTTTTAATTAAGTTTACAATTAATCTGAAATACACAGGAATATTTTTTGAATTCACTGACTCATTAAGAAAGGATATTTTGGACACCCGCAAAAGATCACCCAAAATATGCTACTGACGTATGACGTATATCTACGATACATCTACGGGCTAAATATCGACACGGACGAAAAATTTACCTATGTTGAAATTAATTTAGTGTGTCAGCGATAAATACGTATATACGTCGATAATGAGCATTTAGTTCTGTTCTAATAAAGTGATACGACGGACTGCGTGACAAACGATAATTAATACAATAATTAATTTATATTATAACATTCAAATCATGCATTGCGAGTGACGAACAATAATAACATAATCATATATATATATATGCATAGTTGTAGTTATAAGTGAATTTAAATCATTCTAAAAATCGCAAATTTTTCGAAAGAAAATAAAAGAATAAGCTCATTGTGCGTTTCCGCCGTACGCATCTATGTATAGAAACTAAAAGGTATTTATATTTTATACATGTGATACATATCACGGAGTTATCACAGTTATTTTCGCTTTTATACTTTTATTTTTAATATTTCTAATTAAATTCTACAAAAATTCCTATTATATAATATATAATATTCCTATCGTCCAACCACGTCTCACGGACCACGATAAAATCGTTGGAATGTTTATTGTTTACCAAAACAATGATAAATCGATTAATAAACATTAATTTTACTTTTGTATTTAATTATTGATTTAACAATATTTTTGTACGAAGATTTTTTTCACGAATAATTCAATAACATTAATGTCATTAACCACTATAGTATGAGTAATAGATATACCGTATGAATTTACAATGATATTACATAACTTGACAAGGTTATTTAAAAATTAAAATCAGCTTATCGTCTGATACATAATTACAAAAAGCAGGAATACAATTTCAATTATTATACTTAGGTACGTAATATTTTAATTTCATATATAATATTATTATACATATTAGAAACAGAAATATGACACTCTTAAACAATGTGTATGTCGCATCCATATTGCGTAATTGTACGTTTCACGAAATGAACTAAATTTATATCCATTTCGTGAAATGGAAATGCTTTTTTTCCGCTTCGCGTAATTCCGCTATTTCAATAACATTTCATGGAGATCAATAAATATAGAGAAACAATAACATAATTATTTATTTCTGGTATATTAAGTACAAGACATCAGTATAGTTTAAATAATGCAGTATACCCATGATTCATTTATATTTATTTGTAAACAACTATAATATTATACAATGAAAAATATTGTCATGCTTTATAAATAGCTTAAGCATGTTGAGTTTTGTATCGTAAAATACTGTAACCATGATTTTATTGACCAACTACAAACATACGTTTTATGTACAAAGACATTTACATAAAAGTATGTACCTACCTACCTACCTACCTAAATACTGGACAATAAATAGGGATACTGGATCATGGGCGCTCATTGTGGGGGGGGGGCAAGACAGGGCACTTGCCCCCCCTGGAAAAAAATATTACCACAATATTACCTTATTACCGAGGCAAATTATTTGTTGAAATCACTTTTAAGATATGAAATAAATATAAAAATATACTCATTGTTATCGTATATTAACATCATAGATAGGTCGTATTCTGTAGTCCGTATAACCTATACGTAAAATTATTTATCGTAGGTAATTTGTGGTAAATCTATAAAGATCACAATATAGGTACTACAAATATTTTAACCTAACGCAAACTAGGATATTTTCATTCAGGATGTCATTAATATGTTTGGAATAAAACGAAGAAATTTACATTTCTTATTTACTGATACCGAATAATATACTTAATTATATTATTTAATTTCTATTTTTTTATATACTTATTAAAATTATTATTTATTTATTTTTTATTTATTCGTATGGCAATTATTATTAATACACTATATATATATATGTACAAATACAAATATAACATGCATGTATAGTGTATACATTTATATATGAAAAATAACATTAAATCTTTATTATCTTACATTTGAAAATTTTTTTATTTTGACCCCCCCCCTAAAATATTACTATTGGGCGCCCAGTAACTGGATACCTACTGAGTA